CGACAAAGACTCAACTGGGCCAAGCAGACTGCCGTGCTCGATCGGGGGATACATTCCCATATGGCGTTCCGGTGGTGACATTGATGACTTCTGGCCGCTATTTGGAGACTCAGGAGATCTTGGAGGCGCGGATCTCAGTGATGAGGCCTTGTCGTCGCACCAAGATATCAATGTCATACAGGGGCCGACCGTTGATCAGATGAGAAGGCTGGCCACAACCGTCTTTCCCGAATGCGAAGCGCTTACATGGATTGCCAATGGTGAACTGATAGTAGAACTGCCAAAGACGGACGAGGAAGCTTATTTTCAGAAGCTGATAGGGTTTGGCCCTTTCAATGGACTCTCCGTTGTCGCACAGTTCCGCAATGTTCCTTTATTTTGTGACCGGCGTCCAGGCACGTCACTGAAAAACGACACAATGGCAAAACGCTTTCTCAAACCTGACGAGGTGCGGCTGTATGATCGATTGATAATTGACGATTCTGCGACAGGCAGCAAGCAGTATCTCACCAGCTTAGGCCGTCGTGTCAAGATTGCGAGGAGGCGGGATGATAGTGATGATGATAAGTCGGGCACAGCCACCTACATCACTGGAGTCCAAAGTATCTACGCAACTGACTGCCCAACCATTGGGGCGCGAACGCCACGCATCAATCTCGGCGACTGTGAAGGTGTGCTGCTTCGACAAAATCGCGTTGGCAAGGCGGAGGAAGTGGAGAAAGAAGAGACCATCTTCAAGCAGGGAGAGATATCGGGCATGATGCACTTTGGGAACACCTCAAATGACCCAGGAGCAGCAAGACAGTTTCTTGTCTATGTGGACTCTTTCGACCCATTGATGGAGGAAGGGTTGGAATTTTTGAGGGCTCAGGCGGGTGAAGACGTAATGAACGAAGAGAGCGGGAACAAGGACGGGGATCATGACAAGGCTGATGGTGATGGTGGTGGTGATGGCGATTGTAACGTGGAAGAGACAGGAGAAAAATCAGCAGCTAAAAGACCGAGGGAAGATGATGATCAAGAGGAGCGATTGGCCAAAAGGTCAAGGCCTATTATGAGATGCCCCTGCTATAGGCGCATGAAGGGTAAAGGACCCCTGTAGTTGCGGGGCCGGCATTTCTGAGACCTAAGCTGGACGATGCCAACCGTGGAAGGTTTACGATTGATGCCTGTGATGGTCAGGGCGGGTTTGGAAGCGTGGATAATATATGGATGCTGAATGAATCCATGTATTCCCTAGAGGGGGCGCAGAAGGCTGCCGTAGAGCATTAAGATCAACATTAACACGAGAGTGTAGAGAGGTATAATCAGATGCTAGTAGAGACCTAGGCTAGAGCAAGGCTTGTTCGGCTGAATGGGGGTGTTGGGTTTAACCCTTCTGCTCGTTTGGTTGATAAGGGTCAAAGCGAGCTGGTGGAGCTTGTTAAGTGCAAGAATGTGCACTTGAGGAGATGATGGCGGAAGGGAAGGAGGAGGAGGAGGAGGAGGAGGAGGAGGAGGAGGAAGGAGGAGGAGGAGGAGGAGGAGAGGAGAGCCATTGAGAGGATGCTGAGGTCTGGCCCATGGAAAAATGAGTGGGCGGCTACATGTGTGTAACTCTGTTTTCTTTTTGACCTTGATGGCTTCCAAACTAACCTGGCACGCAGGCCTATGATTCCTATTGGCAAGGTTGGTGGATGGGGGAGCTCCTTGGGGGCATGGATGTTCAGTCTGGTGATTGACAGATTGGAACATTCATAGCATTCGGTAGACAAGAGAGCATTGTTTCACTCATACGCGAAGAGTGAGAGAGCAAAAACCGAAACCAAAACCGAAAAATAAAGCCCCTCCAAAATAAAATGAAAAAAGGAAAAAAGGAAAAAAGAAGGAAAAAAAAAAACATGAAAAAGAAGAACAAGACAAGATAGAGAGTCCCCATAGAGGCAGGCAACGATCCCATAAAAGATTGTTCATTCCTATCCTATTCAATACAAGTCAATGTGACTCTCGGCTGGGCTAATAAAATCACTTCACCTCCAGAACATTGCCTCTCTCCTCTTCCCTTAACGCTCAGCCCAAGTTCAATAACCAAATCAACAACAACAGCACTCTTACCAAGCCAAATGCTACCCTCAACTGTCTCACGGTGATCTTTCTTCTCACTTATCACATCCCCATGACCACCTATAACCGCAAACGTGGTCCCACCTCCTCCCTCACAGCAACACCTCAACCACCCCCTACTCCTTCTTCCCCTGCCCCTCACTCCCCCCAATCTTTCTAAACTTCCTTTTATCCCCCCGTCTCATCAACCTCCGATCCCTCGTCCCCTTCCCACCTTCCCAATACCCCTTCCCCCTCCGTCCAATAACACTCCTGCCACAGAACGCACAACTTTCAACACTGTAGTTCTGCTCCCTGGAGCACCACCCGCACACCATCCTGTTCGCCCACTCATTCACGTGTTCCTCGGCCGCATCGTGGCACTTGTCGCAGGGGTAAACCTTTGAACAGCACGAGAACCTGAACCACCGGAAGCTCTTCTTGTAGTGTGCGCACGCACCCCTGTCCGGCAGCGGATCACCCGCATGCAGACCCAATTTCTCAGTCTTTCGGCGAGCGCCCGTTGTAGGAGGCAGGCGGGAGTGATCGCCCGGTGCGTAGTCTAGGAACTTGACTTCGGGTATCTTGAACGTGAAACGGGCGTGGCACTCGCGACAGACGTTGGTGACTATTTCCCCGCGGACGGATACTACTCCGATGGCGGGGTGGGAGCATTTGTCGCATGTCGGGACGAAGGTGCTGGGGTAAAAGGTCAGTAGGTGATGTTGTGGAGGAAGGTGAAAGAAAGAACCAACCTTGGAAGCATATCAGCCGCCGTACACCCGGACACATCAATAAATCCGGCGCGGGTAGAGTTCATGTGCACAAGTTCCTGGCGAAACCTGACGGTAAATGCCGTCGCGCACTTCTTGCAACTGCTTGCCTTTTCAAGATTATTCTTGAGACCCGTGACATCGTTGAGCGTCTTGCAACGGTCACACTTGACGCTCAATGCCAGAATGGAGACCTGGAGCAGCTCAATCCCGTGCAGTTCAATGAAAGGGAAAGACATGGCCGTCCCCTTTTCCGCCGTTTGAGTCGGCAAAGGCGGTTCCTCGGCAGCCTCTGAGCCAAGCACAGCACCGCCGTCCTCCTCGTCTTCCTCCTCATAATCATCATCATAATCCGACGAGCCAGAAGAATCCTCACCATCCACAAGACCCCATTCCGGAGGTCTTGGGATAACATGTACGTGCCCCCTCCCGGTATCCAGCGTGGAAGAATGCTCGGCCTCCTTCGCCTCAACGTCCGTAGTTTCAGGGGCTTGCGGAGCCGTCATCTTGGCAGGTGGCTTCTGCACCTGCTTCGCCAGTAAATGCATATTCTGAGCCAGGGAATTGAGATGGCTCATCAACGACATCTGCTTCTGCTCGGTCGCCTTCTTGGAAAACAACTCCTCCAAGGCCTCCGCATCTTCAGACTCCACATCATTCAGCAAAATCCTCAACGGCTGAAGAGGATAAAGGAGCGGAACGATAAGCTGAACAGACTTGACCGGTTGCAGTCCGACAGGGAGCACCGCCCTCCGCTTGGGCTCCAAAGGCAGCGTGAAAACAACCCCGTCGCTCGACTTTTGAAAATTCTGCAACCGTCCCATTCTCGCCTCGAGCTGTCTCACCTCCTGAGCCCTCCTCGCCTTTGCCTCCGCAATCTCCTCCCTCGCAAAAGATTCCTCAGGGATATAAGGCCTCGCCTGCACGGCCGGCTTCTGCACACCACTGGCAACCCCCCCAACCGTCTCCTCACCAACCTTCGGCTTCTGTTCTCCCTCCTTATCAACATGCCTAGTATCCTTAAAGATGACCATCTTAACCGTCTCCTTCTTCTCCTCCATCAAGAACCCCTCCAACCTCCTATCCAACGCATTAACCAACCCCAACAGCGTCCCACCATCCTTCCATTCCCTCCTCCTCTCCTCAACAAGCCCATCCCACCCCTTCTCAATATTGACAGCAAACCCCCTCGGAATCTCCTTATTCCTAACCAACAACTTTGGCTCTTGCGAGTCAGAATAGGGATACCCCCTCGGAACCCTCAGATCGCACTCCAGATAATCCAGATCGAACGCGAAATCAGGATCAGAGGGGACCAGTCTGAAAACCAACGAAGTCTCGGCTCCGTTTTTAAGCTCGGTTTCTTCCCGGGGGGAAAACCTCCGTCTGATCTGATTGATCTGGTACCCCCTCGCGTCCTGAATTTGCTTTTGGGGGACGGGCTTGGGTACGACGCGGGATTGCGGGGCCGCAGACACCGCCTGTCGTTGCTGTCGTTGTCCGCTGCTCGATCCCGGCCGGATTGGAATCATTTTTGATGAGTTGAAAAAAAAAATACCAAACCGAAAAGAGAAAAACTCTGGAAGTATTTTGTTGTGGTTCTGGGTGGGTGGGTGGAGGTGGCGATTCTTGGAAAGAACCGCTTCAAACACGAACGCTGTTGCAAGAGGAGAGAGAGAAAGAAAAAAAACAGGGGAAAATAAAATATATGTATTTTAAAAACAAAAGTCTTTTATTAAATAAAACGATTTTCAGAAATAAATATTTATCTTATGATTGCATCCTCCAACAAAAGTGGCAAATAAAGAGCGAGTTGATGAGTGACTGGAGTGTGCTTTGTTCAAAAATGCAGTCAGGCCGGTCGGTCTATGAGCCATAGTGACTCAACTGGAATCATTTTCGAATCTTGGCCTTGGTAATCAAGTAATTACGGAATATGGAAAGGGCCAAGAAGAGATGTGGTCAAGTGTGGGGAAAGGTTGTTGCAGGGATCAATCACCAAAACGAGCGAGCGGGGCCGAAGTGGGGGAGCTTCAAGGTGAGACAAGGTGAGACAAGGCGAGCCTCGGTGTCGTGGACAAAACATCACCATCCTTTTTTGCAGAAGCCATCATTTTTTTGTCAACAAAAATAAAAATAAAATATTAGCTGCGCCTCGTTTCGATCTAGGGTCCTCCGGGTCTCTGCGGTTGCCAGTATGAGCCCGGCGCGCTTCCGCTGCGCCACGCAGCTTGTTTTGTTTTAATTGTTGAATTATGATTCGAAGTCAAGGTATATGAGGTGACTTACAGGCGTGAGTGTGACCTGAGTAGGTTGCTCAAGGTGCAAAATCTCAAACTTTCAGATCAATTAAGAATATCCGCAGAGGCTTAACTTGGCCTTCTGTATCTCTGCCTCTGCGGCATACTTCTTTTCTCCACCCTACATGACCCCCTCATTCGAAATATTCACACCAGCCTTTTATTCATTTAATTTTTTTTCTTAAATTTTTTTTTTTTGGCATGCACCTTTCCATCGCCGCCACCGCATCATCCTTCTATATCACATGTACCAAGTACATGAACCGAAAAAGCCCCCTCCCCCATGCTGAGTGTGGGGTATTAGCCAAAAACTCCTCCCGCTGTCCAAGTCCGTCCCGGCCGAAGTTGTGGATTGAAACATCACATTCGATGTTCCGGCTCATCTTGCCGAACCAAGAAACGAAAGCCAAAAGTGAGGTATCTCAACCGAACAAACCGTAACAGCCCGGCTTTTCGACAGCGCCTTATACCGCACCACCTCCGTCGGAGCAATACCTGGTACGAACGGGACGGCCTGGATATATACCGGATAAAAATCGCCCTATCTTCTGGAAATCCCACGTGGATTGGTCAAAGACCTGCGGGCACGGCCGCCAACAAGGTAAAGTCTTGTTTAAAAAATTGAGTAATCGGCCAGACTCAGTGGGATATAAATTGCTTGGTGAGGCTTCCCGCGTCGGGTCGTGTCTCGCTTCCCGAACAAAGGCATCCAAGCCTCTGGTTGTTCCACCACTCAGAGCTCAATCACTGGCAGTGTTATTATTGACGATGTGCAATGAGATGTTGCAGTGTGCAAGCAGTCAGGCAGATGTTTTGGGTCGAGATGGTTGAAGGAGCCCCTGACTGACTCGGTTGCCCAGGTAACGCCGGCGACAGGGGGTGCATGGTGAGCCAGGACAACTCCCGAGGAAAACATCTAGTAGCCGTAAACACTCTGTGACAAAGAAAATGTCCGGACTTGCAGAAAGATATCAGTCAACTTCGACTAATAACGTAGTTGTGACAAATCTCCTCGGGCCCCATAATGCAAGCCCAATGTCGAGCTAAATATGTACGATCACGAAAGCACAGAAAAGTTGCCAACGAAGACATCCAATGTGGAGCTCGGCTATCTTCCATGAACCCTCATGTCAAGAATACACCATTCAAGAGCCAAGGTAAGAACTTGCTCACCGAGCCCAACTCCTACCCTGGTTCCCAAACTAGCAACAATATCCGTCGACTTATGCAACAATTGCTCAGGTGAACAAGCCTCCAAATGAATTCCCGACGCAAAGATGATAACAATGTATGACAGATGACGAAAGCGCAAATCTTGCTTCGCATTGTGTAACGAATGCCACTTGGCACGTCTAGATCGTGCCGGACCCCGCGAGCCTCAACCACCCGCCGCCACTGGAGGCAAGCCCGAACTGCCGGATATGCAAGCAGATAAGCAGAGTAGCAGAGCATGACCTGCAACTGCGGATGAGGAGTGGACGACTGGCCATGGTCATCGAAGAACGTTATCATCCGGTGGTACCATGCAACTGCAGCTGCACCCGTGTATGCATGATGCTGCATTTCAGCCACCCTCCATCTCGTAGCAATCACGATCCGAGGAAGAAGAAAGGAATAAAAGATGCTGACCAAACGATACCATGCATGATGCATATGCTGGGATGGAATTGCGGATGGGGGCGTGGCCGCAACAGCCGACGAAAAACGTCTCCCAAGATGCTTCATCATGACCAACAAAAATGGCATGTGTCTGCCACGTCAAGAAATCATGAGAATTGAGCGTTTGAACGAACGCGGTTGCCTCTCTGTTCTTCTGCTCCGGCCACCAAATCCTCTTCCCATCAACTTTGAGTAGGATCGCGTGCGTATTGACGCCCAACCGCAAGCGCGCGGCCTGGAATACTATGCAATGGCATGACCAGATGCGGGTATCGCCCTTTCTCGGATTTGCGCAGATTTTCTATCAGATCTCAACATTGAGAATTGGATAGTGTGATGTTCGGCAGATGAGTTGATTGAAGGCAATAGGTCGGCCTTGAAAACGAGGCTGTGGAATTGAGTCTCGTGCGGGAGGAGAGGATGAAGAGAAAGCGATGACGATGCTCTCGCGCAAAGCCATTGAATGCCTTGGTTTGCACCCTCCTTGGATCCAACCAAGGTCGGGCGTCCCGATTGAACCTATCGGCGAAAGGGAGATGATGGTGTGCCTTGGGCAAAGGTGAGAAATTAGAGTTCTGGATCTTCTGCATACGTCCATATTCGCGCGCTCACCTGAGAAGGTTGATGAGTTGGCAATCAGTTGCGGGGCCAAAAGCGACCCAGATGACCAACAATCGATTTGGTCCAAAGGTCCAACCCCAATGTGCAGGATTAAGTTTTTTCTGGAGGGCGGCAAGTGGGGGGAAGAGGTTTGAGATGGAGGGTGAGTGGGAGGGACGGGACGGAGGGTGAATGGAGGAAAGATGGTGTGGAGAGGGAAACGGCACGGCGAAGTAAAGCTCATGTGAGACTTTTTAAACATCTGATTCTGGGGATTTTCAGAACAATAAATTGATGAATTCTGGGATATTTGTGAGTTGAGAATTTTTGGATTTTGGGGGAATACAATTGGGCCAGAAGGAATTCCAGGTCCTCAGGCTCCTACGTCATGCCCGTTGTGTGTGCTGACAGATGGTACATACATGGTAGACGGTGCCGGCGGGAGCCACGCTGTGGCGCCGACAGGAATCTGCATATACGGAATCAAGCACATGATTGGAATTTCGGTTGAATCCAGATAAAATAAAATCTGCCGTGGTTGAACTTTGCCACGCCGAAGCGAAATCCGACACCAGCCGACAATAAACACCAAACCAAGCATCGCGGCCAACGACAGCAAAGTTTCTATTTCAGAGACGACTACGACACGAGGTAAAGTCATTAAATAGGCCGAGATTCTTCAAGGTAAGAGATCATCACCGTTCTAAATATGGCTGAGCACAAGTGCAACAAACTTGCATCGCCCCACCCTTCAAAGGGCTGAGTGGCTTGGGGGGGGTTACATCTTCACAGCTTCCGTTTTGGGCGGGGCGTTACGGCCCGACCGACCACCAGTTGATGTCCGTTTTGTGCGCTGGGGGGGACAAAATCAAGAAAAAAATACCGGGTACTGGATGAAATTCACCAGCTGAATTTATCCATTTTTTTTTCTTTTTCTGAAAATTTCCCCTCCGCGTCGGCAGTTACTTCACCCCGGGTCACAGAGAAGTACCACTTACACCACCCATCTTTTTGGTGGCGTTTCCAATTCTATCACCGGACACCTTGAACAACCATCACAACCACCACATCCACCACATCCACCACAATCACCTCCACCATCGTCCTGTTTGCTCCCGCATCGTGAATAGACAAGGATCGTCACCACCATTATTTCAGACATCAAGACCCTGATGTCTCACACGCACACTTTTGGGAAGATTTTACCCACCCATCATCCATTGACGTCTGTCGTTGCCGGCATCACGGCTTCGATAGACGAGGACCAGCAGAAGGCTCCTTGCATCTTCTGCAAGCAGTCAGCAGGCAAGGCAGACCAACTCCAACGGCTATCTTTTCGCCCGTGCAGTTGTGCATATGCATTTCTTTCTACACATAGGAGATCAAGCGATCTTTTTGTCCTCTCCACATGACTTACTAAAGCAATTTTCCTCCTATTATCTCACGATGGTCTCAGCTTTGCCTCTTCGTCATGGCATGACTCTTCAGGTTCTCCCCCAGATTCTAGCAACACTGCATGCCCCGCATCGGAGGAAAAGGACCCTCGTTACACGCTCTCACACTCTACCACCGATATCCATGGGAAAAAATTGAATCACTCATTTGTTTTCTTTTCTTTTTTCATGCCATCTTCCACTATTTTTTATTTTTATTTTGCGGCCGATATATCACCATTCCTATTCCGAGAGTACACCAACCCTCCCTCCTCTCCATTACATTTGTTACACGCGAGGAGAAGACAGTCTCCAGATAGCAATCCCGGATGAGCGCAGAAGAAGGATGGCCGGCGATACAGCAGGATAAGTGGTCATACCTACCGTGGTACAGAAAGTTCCCTAGTTGTTTTTAATATAAATGTGCGTGAGCTGTTATGCTGTGTAGGCACACCACACTTCTTAACATACCACTCCCAGATAAACCCTGGACTGGGAGGGGATTTATGGGCCCTAAATAGAACCGAAGTGGGTGAAAGAAATAGGGGGAAATGCAGTCAGCAAGCGAAGCCAATATTTATTTTGGTTCATCATCTTCATCCTCACTTCTTAGCCCCTATTTCCCCGTTCCCCCCACTCACTCATTCCCCCCAGCCTTACCCCAAACAACCACGAAATTGTCATCAGAACCCCCACATATCACAAGAAACCACCCCCCCCCATAAACCACGACGTTTTGTACGAGTCTATGTACTCTGCATGCATTTAATTATGTTAGACCAAGAGTAACGTTCCTCCAACCCCGACTTTTCGGAACAACAACAACAACAACCCTAATATAATAAAAAAAAGTCAGCCCACATTTTGTCGAGTACAGCAGCAACACCAACAAAATGTATGTACCTCGTGAACAGAAAAAGAAAGAAAGAAAGTAGTATTAATCTTTCTCTCTCTCTCATATTACCCCCTCCCCCCCTTCCCGGGTTCAATCAATCTCCTGCTCCCTGCCGTCGTGCAACTAAAGCACACACAAGTGACACAGGGGAGAATCTAAGAATAAATTCAGGTACACGCTCCTCTTTCGTATTTTTTTTTTTTTTTTTTTTTTTTTTTACTATGTGTGTGTCTCTTGAGTCATCAAAAAAAATATGATGTGATGTGAAGTTATACACATTACACAATAGGGCTCGAGAAACTGAGCCGAACTCATATCCGATCATCCGAAAAGTAAACATTACTG